CGACGGAGAAAGGGAAGAAGACAATGCGTGTCAGCCAACCATTCACCTGTTTGAATTCCGCGCGTTTGGAATCAGCTTATTTTATTTTCCTTATATTATGTTTTGTTTTTATTATGTTAACGAGTTAACAACGCAACTCAATTGGCAACGCATCGTTGGTAGGGAGTACAAGGACCTGGGTTCGATCCCAGGTCCCAAAAAAATGTATTTTCTTGTTTTACCTTTGCAGATCCAATACAATACTCCCTCACACGCCTTTCATACACCCTCAACGCCTGTCCATTGGATGCCCAGCTAGCCAGATCTAACATCTCTCTCTTGAAGGTCCATGGTGCTCCTCAAGTCAATGTTACACCAGATCCAAAGGTTGACTGGGCTTGATGCTTAATGGGCCAAAGAATTTCAATTCCACACTCCCCAGAATTGCTAACAGCAGGCCCATTTAGTTATTTTTACTATTTTTCTTTAATTTCTTTTCTTTAGTTATTTTATTTTTTTAATCAATACAAAAATTATTTTATTAAATTAACAAATCAAAAATCACAAAAAGATTTATTTTCTTAATAAATATTTTTTGAATTAATTAGTTTAATTAATTTAGGGTAATTTAATCTTTTTATATAATTAAAAAATGATTAGAATTAGGATTTTAGTGGTACATAATTTAATTAATTTTCTTTAAAAAATACATCAAAAAATCTTTTTTTTTCTCATAAATATTATTTTCTTTAACTAATTGGGTTAATTAGAAAATTAGGTTAATTTAATTTCTTTCATAATTTAAAAATAATTAGAAATTAGGTTTAATTAATTTCCAATTAAATATTTTCTCAAATAAAATCCAAAAAAATCTTTTTCTCTCAAATTAGGGTTTTAAATTATTTCAATCGTCCTCGCATTTAATTTGCCGCACACTTGTTAATTATTTGTCCATTATTTTGTAATTGTTCAAGGTTTGTAATAGTTAACTTATGGTTTTTATTTTATTGTTTAAATCCCCGATTTTTGGTTATGTAATTAATCCCCCTCCCCGAAGCCTTGTAATAGCTAGGTTTTATTTTTCGCACTTTTAATTTCCGCAATCTTTAACTGTCTAGATGTATGGCAAGAATGTCTGGAAAATTAAAATGGTAGATCACCTAATGTGCAAAGATTAAATAACTGAAACAAATCATATGCACATATTCACTCCTAGGGTTTACCTCACTTCGGTTGCCTTTGATAAACAATCATTAAGCATAGGAGATTTTAGTGGTTGCCCTCCAGTCTAAAAAGATCAAAGTGTCCCATTCAAATGTTGCCTCAGAAATGTTGCCTCGAAAATGTTGCCTCGGAAAGATCTTAAGACTCTAGGGTTATTACTAAAGTTTTCTAACTATTGTTTTGGTGATTGTACTCGTCCCTTTCGAATGTCCCTTACAACTCCATGATGGTGCTACCTACTCCTTAGTAGTAGGATAGTGCTGTCTAAAGGAAATGAGAATAAATAATCTTTTTTCGAGTAGGTAGAATCTTAAGTACTTGCTCAATAAAAACTTTTTACACAAACACCTTTCAAAACAAATTTTCAAAACAACTTCGTCACACTCTTGAGGACTGATACAAGGGTTATCACGAAGTAAAAACATTTTCAAGACAATCACACACAAGCAATTTGAAAAATGAGCAAGTACCTAAGAGCCCGTAGATAACTACGGATAGAAAGGGTGCTAACACCTTCCCTTTCTATAATCTACCCCTCGTACTCGGAATATCTCGAAAAAAGGTTTTTTCTGTTCATTTTCTTTTTCCATGATTGGATGAAATAAAAGTCGGTGACGACTCTTGCTTACCGCGACATTTTGCGAACAAAAAACGCAAAACACAAACCAATATTAAACAGTCGGTTCTGCCACCGTATCACACTACCACACTTAAATTCTCCTCTCACTCCTTCGCCCCATATTTCTACTAATTCATAATTCAACTCCATCTTCCACAATTCTCTATTTTCTCCTTTTATTAAATAAGTTAAAATAAAATATCATTATTTTAATTATTAAATATTTCTATTTAAAATCTATCAACTTCTCTTACTTCCTACGCCCTAAACTCAAGTTCATACACCCCTACCACCCAAAATAATTTAATTATCACCCATAATAATTGAATAATATATATAAATTATAATTAAATCACAATAAATTAAATAAAATAATTTACTAAAACTGGGGCGTTATACAAGGCGCACAATAAGACTTTCGAGAAACTTTTAATAGTCAAACTCATAACCGAGAAAAAAATTACATTACATGAATTTCTATCATGGTTTTAGTGCATAAATAAAATAACAAATGGTGCATGTGTGTGGATTACTCAACTTTAATATATCTTGTCTCAAGGAAGCTTACTTGTTCCCAAATATCGACATGCTTGTCAATAGTTCCTCAGGATTCAAGCTTCTATCTTTCATGGACGCATACTCTGAATATAACCAAATCCTAGTACCCTTTGGATGCAACAAAACTACATTCATGGGAGATGTGGAAAATTTCTGTTACAAGGTCATATGTCATTTGGTTTTAAAAACTTTGATGTAACTTATCAGAGTGTGATGAGTAAGGTCTTAAAGGACCAAGTAGAGGATATGTTGGGATTTTATATGGAAGATATGATCATCAAGTGTAATGCGTAAGAAGAGCATGCAACTCATTTGGAGGTCATATTCACAGATGTTAGAAAGTACGACATACGACTAAACCTAAAAAAACAGGGCAAGGTCTGGGAAGTTCCTCGATTAACTTGACGGCCCCAAAAATCAAGTCTTGGTTCATTTCCAAGTCTACTCACCACACATTACCATTTTATAAACCATTAAGGAAATAAGTCCTTTTTGAGTGGACAATAGAGTGTGAAACTGCTTTTACCAATCTAAAGAAGTGTTCTCACGTGTTGGTATTGCCTAGTGACGGGGGAGACAATGTTTCTTTATCTTTCTAGGGTTAAATATATTTTTGGTTCCTATAAATTACCAAATTTTGTTAGTCCCTATAATTTTTTTTTACATGTTTTGGTCATTACAAAATTATTATGCACGTAGTTTTAGTTCCTTATGTTAAACCAATATGTATTTTTGAATGATTATTTTGCAGACATGTCTAGACTATTATAAAAAGTTCCTCGAAAAAAAGGAGTTCAAAATTTGATTTCTAAGTCGAGGTTTTTATTATTTTTATCAATATCTTTTAAAATTTTAAAAATTCATATTTAATTTTTTCATTTTAAAAAATTCTAAAATTTAGTAAAGAAATATTTTATAGTATTCTAAACCTATGAAAAAAATTATTCAAATATTTAAAAGTTTAAGAGTAAATAAATAATTTTCAAATTTTTAGAAAATAATAGGGACTAAAACTGTATGAATAAAATTTTGTAAGAACTAAAATATATTTTTTTATAGAGATTAAAAATAAAATTTGAAATATTTATAGGAATAAAAAACATATTTAATCCATCTTCCTATTTTTCTCGAAGAGACCGGCCATTTAATGCGAGAAAATGACACCTCGTAAGACCTAGTTTATTTCATCATAAAATTGTTGCAAGTGCACTACTATAAAATTATTGTAGGGAATGGATAACTAATTTTTAAAATTAACAAATAAAATTATAATTATAAATATTAAAAATATTAATGTTAATCTAAAATTTTAAAATAAAATATAATTTATTGCAATAATAATTTGGTCATTTACGGATAATATATATATTTTTTGTTATATAACATATCTAACATATATAATAAAATTATTTATTTATTTATAATTTGTATTTTGAAAATTTGAAGTTCGTTATATAGTATAGTCCAAGAAAAATTTATTAATTTTATCTAATTTTTTTCATTATTTTAAAATTTTCAATCGGATATAAATTTTATCTAAGTTCTTTATATATTTTATTTATTTATAAATTTTTTATTTTATTTATAATATTAAAATTTATTTAATCTTTATTCAAAAGAATATCTACATAATTTTTAAATGTTAATTTTATAAATTGAATATAATATTTTTAAGTTTAATTATAACTTTGATCTTTCTATTTAATTTTGATCCTCATTTTAAAAACTATCATTTAAATCTCCTTTTTAATTTTGCTTTTGAATTTTCGTTCTCTGATTTTAAAAATTATAATTTTGATATTTTTTTTAAGTTTTATTTTGAATTTTAGTCTCATTTTTAAGTTTTATTTTGAATTTAAGTCTCTTTTTCATCATCACCAGAGAATTAAAATTCAAAATAAAATTTAAAAAAAAGAACTAAAATTCAAAATAAAACTTAAAAAAAGGATCAAAATCATGATTTTTAAAATAAATGGACGCGAATTCAAAAGAAAACTTAAAAAAGAACTAAAATAGTGACTTTTAAAATAGGAGATCAAAATCAAGAAGAAAAAAAAAAACTAAATAGAGAGTGCAAAGTTACAATTAAGTCATATTTTTATCATTTTAACATGTGTCTATCATATTTATTTATATGTAATCAAATGGACTATCATGTCATTAAATTTGAACTTAAATTTAAATAGAGATTAAAATCTTTAAAAGGGATAAAAAAATTGAATTTAAAAATCAAAAGTAAAACTTTAAAAAAAATAAAAATAGGTGAAATAAAATTACAAATAAACCTTTAAATTCATATTAGACGAGATATCAATGTAAAACTTATTTAATTTTAAAATTGACCGTAAATGCCTCTACACCATCTTGAAAAATAGCCGTTATTAAAATTATTATAAAATCAAAAAAAAAAAAAAAATCTAAGATTCATTCGATTGAGGCGTAAATTGTTTTCAGCAACAGTCGCCAACGTTTCCTTCCTTCCTTCCTCGTACACGCACCCGACACGTTTCTCTCTCTCTCTCTTCCAATTTCCCAAGTTACCATTTTTGAACATTCAACTTTTACTCTCTACTTAATTTCAACCCATTTTCATTCCATTCAATTTTCTTCGATCTATTCAATGGGTGCCGCCGATGAGGAATACGATTACTTGTTCAAGTTGGTTTTGATCGGTGATTCTGGTGTTGGTAAGTCTAATCTGTTGTCGAGATTTACGAGAAATGAGTTTAATTTGGAGTCTAAATCTACTATTGGGGTTGAATTTGCGACGAGAAGTGTGAGGATTGTTGATAAGCTTGTTAAGGCTCAGATTTGGGATACTGCTGGACAAGAAAGGTCACACCTTTTCTCTTTATTTTATGTTTTTTTATGCTTACTCCATGATCTAGGTTTTAGTGTTTGTCGATTGTTAATGGGTTTATTTGTTTGGTTTTCGGGTTTTTGCTTTTCATCTTGATCTTGATGTTTAGGACACCTGATCATAAACAAGATATTTTTCTATGAATTACACACATCTACACCGGTAATAATTTGAGAAAGTAAATGAATTGAATGTAATCACATGTGTTGCGTGTCGTGCACTTATATGTTGGATATTAGATACACATTTATTTAGAGGTGTTGATGCTACAAAGATATTTTGTAGCTTGAGAGTTTGTTGTTGAGGAGAGATTAGAGAATGAATTGGGTTTATGAATGTCCAAGTGATACTTTTTTCATTTTGTTGGCTATGTTTTTAATCTCGGAAAAATACCAATAAACTTGTTTTAAATTGCAATCGCAGTGAGTAAAAAAAAATGCAATGGTGGTCATGGCCTGGTTACATTGTGATTCTTGACATTATGTTGAATCGCGATTAGATACCGTTAATGAAACCTCAATTATGGGGACAAACATGTAATTTATTCAATATGTCAGGTGTTTATTTGGATTTGAATAGAAACATGGTTCTAGATAGAATATTATGGTGAAAATTGATCCATGTAGCTTATCCCAATTAGTGGGATATGAATTGGTTGTTGTTGTTGTATATAATTACCTTTTGATATCAGTCCTACATTAAATGAGATATGACCTCATGTGAATGTGGGGGAAATCCTCATGTTACAAGCCTAATCATTGTTTATTTCTTCCATATCCATTGAGTTTTTTCCTTCAAAATTTGCAATTTGTTAGATGCGTCAAGGTGTTTGATCAATATGATTGTTCCAATTAAGATATTCTCTTCTAAACTTGCAATTTGTCTGATAGGAATCCAGAGTTAAGAGGGTGTTCTGTACCCCTAGGTTCTCTTCTAAAAGACTAGCCTTCTGTAGTTTTTGGATCTAACTCGTCTAAATTTAAAATAATCTCGACCGATGAAGTAAACTATTAAGATGTCTTACTTTTTCCTCTAAAATGAGAGTTCAATAGAGAATTCGTTCATCTACAATGATACTTAAAGTGTAGTCAAGATCGAGTGCTGGATCGTAAGATCGTAAGACGTAGGATCTTACGTGCCAAGGATCTGAGAGTGCTATGACAAGAAAAAGATCGTTTTGGTCGCCGGAGTGGTCAAGATCGAGCTTTTTGAAGCAAGAACATAAAGACAAAAAGTGAGGCCTTTTTGTTGGGCCTGAATTATATTTTTCATGTTTTTGTGTGTGTGTTTGTATAATGAAATTACCATTTTTTTTTTCCTTCGGTTGGATCTTCATGCCGTGCTAACGATCCGTGTTTTACGATCGTTCACAAACCGACCGATCCTACTATGAATCATTATAACTCATCCCTGAATCTTGTAGTCTTGTTCTTTTTTTCGTATCACAGATATCGAGCAATCACAAGTGCTTACTACCGCGGAGCCGTAGGTGCATTGCTTGTGTACGATTCAACTAGGCATGTGACATTTGAAAATGTGGAGAGATGGTTGAAGGAGCTTCGAGATCACACAGACGCATACGTTGTAATCATGCTTGTTGGAAACAAAACAGATCTGCGACACTTGTGTGCCGTGTCGACAGAAGAAGCCACCGCATTTGCTGAGAAAGAAAACATATATTTCATGGAAACTTCTGCACTCGAGTCGGTGAATGTGGACAGTGCTTTTGTGGAAGTGCTGACTCAGATATACAATGTTGTGAGTAAGAGGGCTCTTGAGAAAGAGAATGGCTCCACATCAGTGCCTAAGGGAGAGACTATCAATATTGGTAAAGATGATGTCTCAGAGGTTAAGAAGAGTACATGCTGCAGTACAGCATAGTTTGAATTGAAAGAAGATGTTAGTTACATAGTAAAATTATCATTGTTTTGGATTCATATGAAATGTTTTGGTATTTGTTTGATACCTTTTTTTTTTACCATTGAACATTTTTGTTATTTGTTGTGAGAAAGTCATTGCTTTATGATGCGGTTTTGTTTACTGAGATACATTGATTTGCTACAAGAGCATATTGTTGTGGTGTTACAGCTTACAATTCAGGTGTTGTTATCTTCAAATTTCTCTACCTTCATCTATCTTTTTGCAAGGGTCTTAGTTTTTTTTATCATCCATAGTTATGATTAATGATGAAGTGTTAGCTATGGATATGGTGATTCCACTAAACGAAAAGAAGTGTTTGTTTAATTTTGATGTCAATATTACTGAGAAACATGATAAACTAATAAAACCTTGAGATAAACAAATGTTTAGTTTTTTCCAGAAAGAATAGAGAAATGCTAAAGTTTGAATATAACATGTTATCTAACTTAGGCCCGTTTTTTTTTTCAAAAAGTCATATCCTATTTTTTTGGCAAAAAAATCTCATGGAATTTGATTGCATGTGTATAGTTCATATTAATGTCTTTTAATAACAATATAACATTTCTTTAATCGTTTAATAAAATTAATAGATTGACAAAATTAAATTTATTTTGGACATAAGACAGAGGCTTTATCATCACAAACTGTGTATCTAAAAATATAGTATTTTTCATTTAAAAATTCCAAAAGTTGTTACATTTCGGATCTTGGAGCCCTTATCGCCATGTTGTTTTGATGACGCATATGATATACTTGCTTGATATTTGAAACACTATTTGGGTATTTCCGTTTCAAATCTGCAAGTATGTTTTTCAGCGCCACTTTAATTAAAAACATAATCTAAACAATTTCCTTCTTCTCTGGATTAAGACGACATACGATGGGATGACCGACTAGCTTTGTTTGCAAAACATGATTATGTATTTCAGAAATCACATTAAATTTTCACATCTCATCCACGTTACAATATCCATGCAATTTGAACGAACAACCATATTTTCTCATTCAGGTGTCATCACGTTTCAACTTCTGAATCGGAGAAACATATGTGTCACTTCTCTCGCATCTCATAGTTACAAATGTTTATCTTCTATTTGAACCAATGTCGGACCTTTAAATTACAATCTCATTGAAGCATATGTTCGCGAGCAGTAAACATTTATTCATTTATAAAACGTTGACTAACATCTATCTCGACAAGAATCGATTTAACACCATCCTTCACTTTTTCTGGTTTAACATCATGCTTCACTTCAGGTGATTTAACATTATCCTTCGCTACATTCTGTTTTACATCGTAACTGCTCTGGATTTGGCATGCGCTTAGTCTACTGTCGGGTAGAGTCCAGCCCAACTCTGTTGCAAGGAAGACCCACTACAGTAGCCCAAATTGATATGACCATTGGGGAACGTCTCTCACACGTTCCCGCCGAGAACGTGTCCGTCGAGGACACCCCTTCCACGTATCCGTCGAGGACGTCTCCTTCACGTGCTTGTCGAGGACGTCTCCTTCATGTGCCCATTATAACACCCTCTAATCCCACATAGACATAAATAGCATAATCAGAATAAATTAGCATACATCTCAAAGAGGGCGTCACAATTAACTTCATGAAACGATAAAAAAAATTCAAACATACATATTGGTCATGATCATAACACGTATTCAAATTCACGTTTCATACACCAATATAAAATATGCATCTCGCAGCGGAATAATTATCTCAACATAAAGATATAAATTATTGAAATTTCATACTGACAATCATATCATAAATACTAGGCATTGAGGCCAAACATCACATAATCCCACATAAAAGAGAATAATAACAAATATCTCTCAAAACAAATCAAAAACATGAGTTCGAATATCCTCCGTGTTACATAAACCAGAGCAATGACTCACTACCTAGGAATAAGCAAATAAATAAGGATCTAGCTCCTCCTCTAATCCTGGCAAGAAGTACCGCTATCTCCGGTACCTGAGCGATATCGTATAAAACATCATTCCAATAGAAGGGTGAGAATTCATATCATTATGAAAATATATAATCATAAGCAATGTAAAACATACATACACCAATATGAATATATCACTCTTTATAAAACCACGTATTAGACATAACAGTCCAACATACCAATCCACATATACAACATATATCATCAATTCATATTCCAAATAAAATTCAATTCCAATTAGCACCGTTGTACAATTACCACAATTGTACAATCACATCAATTATCACATGTTGCACATAAGAACACCACATTCACACTAATATTACATAATGAGTAATAATGCAATAATTCACATCAACACATGTGACTTCAATGCAACTCAAATATATTATGCATGTGGTACCAATGCTATCCTTATCGGGTCCTGCCAGATTCACATCTCCAAGACAGATAACTACCAATAAAAGCATGATTCAGCCTTAAGCTTTCAAATCCCATTCAGCGTTAGGTTTGAGACAAGTCAATAGTTTCCACGGAATTACCAAACTTTGTCTCTTGACACAAATGATGCATGTACATGTGCAATCTCAACAACTCATCACATAATTCAACATATTTTAAATTATCTTCACAACATTGCACAATATACATCTTTTATGTCAATCAATCACATATACACAATCTCATAGTATAAATCCTCTAAACACATCATTATAACATATAGTAATTAGATACAAATCATGTTATACTCAAATATCATCAAATTCCAACACTTACATACACAATTCAAGTGTTAAGTTTCTCATCAAAACACTTCCAAAACTAATCCAAAACACATCGAATAGATTATTAAAAATCATGTAAGCTAATAATAATTCATAAGCATACAAACCCCTAAGCCACTCATGTGTAACAAGAAATTATGATTCCAGACAACCGCGCTAAGCAGTCCCAGTCGCGTTACGCGTCCCCTGCAAAAACCAGAAAAATCTGTGGCGAACAACTTTTGTCCAAACACGAAAGTCCAACTTAAACCATATTCTAGTGGCCATTTTTCACTAAATAAATATATTCTAGCATGTATCTATCATATAGCATCTATTTGTATCACAAAAACATGATTTCCAAACATCAATTTGGGATTCTAATTTCAACCTAAGTGAATCAAAAACCTATAAATTGAAATACTCAATCCTAGTTCATGTTACTACTCGTCATATACTCCCATAACAACATAGATTCTCACTCTTACCTTGATTGTAGCCACCTTGAGATTCTTCCTCCTTCTTCTCTTCTTTTCAGAAAACAATAAGGATTCTAATCTTTATTTTCACATAACCCTTACTAACTATTGTTTCTCTTATTAGGCTTAGCAACTCATACCCCCTTATTACTTCTATTTCTCATAATTAGGCCCAACTAGTTATTTCATTCATTAATACACCTAACAACCCAATTATTCAAATAACACATATATTCAAATAATTAAATAATTATCATGCCAGATAATAATTAAATAAATAAACAACTAATAAAATAGCTAATAAAAATCGGGATGTTACACCTGCCGAGGACGTCTCCTCTCCCCCACGTGCCCGCCAAGGATACGTGACCAACGTCCATCCGAATATCACGGAGTCATCCTATCCTCAAAAAGAACATGTCTTCCACCCTCCGAGAATCACGGGGTTGTTGAACTAAGATAGAGACCACGAAATGATCTCCTCTACCCACATAGGATCTTGGTAGTCTCCATCATCCAGCTCAAAATGAGAATCTTGACACAGCGTTGAGGCTATAAATACCCTCTTTCACTATAGGTTCAGGTATTCAATTCTACTCACTTACACTTTGTACTTGCTTTCTTTGCTCTGAACCTTATTTTGGCATCGGAGTACCTTGCAGGTATATCTCTCATTCACTTCAACAACTGCAAAAGTCTAAGTGTTGCAAGCCGCTGAAGATCCTTCTGATCCTGGTAAGATCAATTACGTACAACATCTTTGGAAAATATATCAGGGTGAACCAAATCTAATAAGAATCAAAACAGAAAAAATGCTTAAAAATTAGTAACATGTGAATTCGAATATACATATCTGAAATAATGTAGGTGAATTCATATACATATATACGAACAAGACGAACGTTTTTTAGCTCAAGAACAAGATTAATGCAAGCAATGTGGAATAAAATGAGAGAAATTTACCTTAAATTGTAACTTATTTTTCTCCCTTTCATATGATAAAATGCAAGAAATTTGATTTGGAATCAAAAAGATGGTTGAAAATGATTTTTTAAGGATTTTTGACTATGGAAGGAGTTTGAAGAGTTTGAAGAGTGAGAGAGATGATCATGCAAAGTGGTCATATATTCAATTTCCTCCTGGAGAATTTCATAGATGTATCTCCAAAAACATCATTGAACGGTTAAAAAAACATTCTAAATAAAAAGATATTTTTCAGAGATACATCTACGAATTTATCCAAAAATGCATCTCCGAACTAAATTTAAACAAAAAAAAAAGATATTTAGTGCGTTTGAAGATGTATCTCTGAATAAACCAAATTTTTTTTTGAATTTTCATAGGTGCGTCTCAATGAGTAAGGGTGTAATGACAAATTCTCAAATTCTAACTTTGCCATGAAAAAACACCTTAAACATCTCATGAGTCCAATCACATTTTTCATCCCTATATACTAATTTTTCGAGGAGAACTTTTTTCCTACAATTAGGGTCTGTTTAGTTGGGGTAAATGGAGGGGAAGGGAGATAATATTTAATAGTTTATGTGTTTGGTTTAAATTTTGAGAGGGAAAGGAGAGTTAGATAGAGGGGACCAAAATCTCTCATGAACTATTTTTTGCTTCCCTCCGATTTGGAGGAATTTTAAGGGAAGATATTTTTTTTTAATTATAATTATATTTACAGATTTAACCTTATTATTTTTTTAATATATATCAATTCACTAAGGTTACTTTTAATTACCGTAATGTTTTTGTTTATGATAATTTTTGTTAGATTTTATTGTATTTGATAATATTTTTTTAAATTATATATTATAATCGTTACATTTTTATAAAATCTTTTATAATGTTCTTTGATTAAATTCTTATATTTGTCAATGAAATTGTATTTGAATTATAAACAGTAAATATTTTAAGATTTGTGGTAAAATTACAAGGATAAAAAAGTAATTTAGTTCTAAAATATCTCCCCTCCTTCTATGAATCAAACATATTTATATGTAAAATGTCTTTATACTCATGTGAGTATTGGGCACAACTTGATCATGTGATATACCAAGAAAATATTTAATCTATTTTCTTGAAACTACAACTCCTATTAGTCATGTTTGGATAAGCTATTTTTTAACATGATTTTGCTTATGTTATTTAGACGTTCAAAAGTATAGAGATTTAGCAAAAAGCTATATTTTGAACAAGAAAGTGCAGAGTTGTCTATGGCAATGGTAAAATCAAACGTTATAGAGTAGGGGAGAGTGAAATAATGCCCATATTTCAAACCATGCAAGCTTCTACGTAAGTCTCAAGGAAATTTATCCTTATGGGCTATTATCAAGATACTAATGATTTGTTGGACTCTAACTCAAAAATATATTGAAAATTTCTCTTTTTCCCTTATAGGTAAAAGAAAAACATTCGCATTTTTTAAAATGTTTTTAAAAATCAAAAATATATTTATGTTGCGCACTTTGTTTTTAAGATTCGTCCTATATTATTGATTGTATCTGATCAGAAGAATTGTCAAGGTCTGCAAACTTTAAGTCGAAAAGTGATTGAATGTGAAATGGGAGTACTTGCAAGACACTCTGATGCCAAAGTAAGATTCAGAATATGTGCAAGTAAAACGTGAGAGTATGGATGAATGAATAATTATCCGACTCCTCAAGTGAGAAGGTATTTATAGCCCCAGCGCTAGACCAAAGTCCCCATTATTGAGCTGACCAAGCAAACCTAAAATGGAGATTGTCAGGTCCTACGTGTGCAGTGGAGGCCAACACGTGGTTCTCAACCTGAATGGACTCCTCTGAATTATCAAGAGGACGTGGATGCAGTCCTTTTGAGGTCAATAGGACTCAGTGACATTCAGAGGCGTTGGATACCTGCCCTACGAGGAGGGTGCTCGCGTTGACCTCCTGAGCGTCGTCGGTCCTCCTCGCGAATCATGCGGTGAGGTTGTCCCCAAAGGACATATTCTGGTCGACACTGTCGGGGACAAACTTTCTCCTGCAATATAGTTGAATTGGACCTTATATGATGTTCGGGCCAAGTGCAGGTCCAATTCAGAACAATTACAATAAAATTTATTTCGGAAATACACTTCCAATAATTTCCGGAAATACACTTTCAATTATGTGACTGCTCTATTTAGATAAGGTTCAACAAGTTCAAATTCATCTGAGCTATCTTGATATTTTAGATAAGAGTTTAAACTTCATTAAGCATAACAACTTGAGAATGCTTGCTTTTTTCCTCCTCTTCTGCTTCATTTGATGTTGTTGTTGGAGCTGTAATTGAAGGTAACTTCCTGGTTTTTAGTTTTCCAAATATCAATTTCCTTCTTTTCTCTTTCTGAGATCAAGTTTTTCTTTCTCATTAGAATATACAGAATCTTAGAGAATAAGAAGAAGAAAAAAAACTTCTCTTGTGTGGAATGTGCGTCCCATATGAAAAGCCTCTTCACCAGATTAAACCAGCTCTTCTTAGCCATTTAACAATATCAAAAGACTCAACTTTAGTATCTATGATCTGAAATAATGAACCATAACATAAGCTAGGTTTCAATAATTTATTTAAGTAATGTGAATGCACAATTCAAACTTAGACTTCGCCAAAAATATTCACATAACAGGAAGTGCATTTCTGGAAATTACCGAAAGTGTATTTCCGAAATAAATTTTATCATAAAATAGGACTAATCTAAAAAAAACAAATGAATTATATGTATGTAAGTGTGCACCAGAAATATATTTTTGATTTTCAGAGGCACTTTAGAAATTTTGCGTGATACAATAAAAAAATATAGAGTGGAAAAAAAAATTCTCAAATATATTTCAGCCATCAAATTAAATTATCCTCATTGCTTCAAATTTACCATTTAAACAAAACAATCTAATTAAGCCCTATTAAAATTAGGGACAACGGACACATCAAAAATCTATTAAAAATTACGACATAGCAATAACAGAAAATGGAAGTCTAAAATTTTAATTCGGTATGTCCGGCAGGCAAAATAGGTATGACCGACCGGCCAAACCTGGTTGCCACCCTCTAAAACCATAACCAATATAGGAAAAAGCATATAATTATAATGAATTTAAAAAATGTATTTGGATAAAATGACAAAATCTCTTTCTATTTAACCATTGCTGCCTATTGAAGATGTTTGATGCCTATGATGGTTCTTACTTGCTACTTATTATGATTCATCTTGTTCGATAAATCATCTTCGTAGTTGCAACAAGCATATGATATTTAATTTATTATAAAAAAAACAAAACTCTACCGAGGGTTTAGAATTGAAACGTTTCGTAGATGCTGATGCGCTTGCCGTTTAAATGATAAGAACAAAAGAGTATTAAGGAATCAAAACACTTCCTTCGTTGACAATGATAGGAATTAAAACTAGTTTTACCAAATTGGCAGGCAATTAGATGCCTTAGAAACATGAAAATGACATTTGACAAAAGCTAATTAACTACCATAGTTAAGTATAATTATGGCAACAGCAAAAAAAAACATTATCTAAAACTTGAATAAGTGTAATTGATCCTCCTAATTTCATTACACAAAAGTGCATTCTCATAAGTGCCATCTACAAAAACTAATCAATTTTTAAGAGTATTTCAAGAATGATATTAGCATTAGATAGTATTGATCATTTATAGGAACTGAAAAGCCAAGCTTGAGCAACACTACCAAAAGATGAAATACAACAAACAACTAAAACATTAGATTGCCTTTCAAACAACACATGCTCAAATCACAATGGCATGCCAACAAAAGTTCAACATGAAATAAAAAAATATGTACTTAGATTCTAATTCTACACTATTGTCATCATCATGAGTAGGTAAAGTAAACCAGAACCAAATCATCTTGTCAAAATCTACAATTTTCATTACAAATTGTGAGTTAGGTGTTGAGAATCTGTCTACTGGTCATCTTTCATCTTCAATGATTTCAGATATCATCTTCAATGAAAATTGATGTCTCAACTATTCTGCACAAATACATTTCCTCATATTAACAACAAATCAGACACACCTCAAACACGACACCGACAAACACACATTTTTTCATCGATTTAACAATCTTATACTATTTGTTATTTGTGTCTATCTATGGTTTCGGATTAACATTCATGTATATATTGATAGGATAAAGATTATAGATTTCTAATAAGATAACAAAAAAGAAACACATACCATCATCAACATCATCATCCACTGGAACTGGGGCGATGCTTGAAACTCGAATCGGACACACCAATCCTCCTCATCCTCTCGTTTCCACCAGACTTGGGTCGCAAGTTTTCCCTAAACCGACCCAATTCCGGTCTAGCATGCTCCTCTCTAGGCACAAACCCCGGTCGAAGATGCGGCGGCACGAACTTATTCGGTTTCAGAGAACCCAAATCTTTCTCTTTCCCCTGATTCAGATTCGGGGTTGGTAAAAGAGGCGACGACGCGACTCCGGTTCGACCCAGAGGACGAAGCGAGATCGAATCGGATCCCGGTTCGGATCGGGGTCGATCTGGACCCTGTAAGATCGGGTTTGGATTTGGGTTTGGGTTTGGGTTGGGTTTGGATGGTGGTGCGGAAGGGGTGGGGTGATGTGCGATGGGTTTTGGTGTGGGTCGGGTTAGAACGAGGATGCGGCCATGTTTGTTGGGAGCGGAAACAGCAGAATAGGAAGCGGAGGAGAAGGAGGATGAAGATGAAGAAATGGAAGGGCTTTTTGATGCGTTGGTGGTTTTGGTGGTGGTGGTTATGGATTTGTCGTAGATGTGGTTGAAGTTGATGGAAGCATATTTGTTGTTTTTTGCCATCCACTGGTTTGCAGAGAGATTTGAGAGAAAACGAAAATGGCTTCCAACAAGATGAAGAGAGCGATTTGAGTTTTGCGACAAATGGGATTTCTTGAGTTTGCTTCTTTTCTTCATCATGGGAGTTTGGGCTTTTCTACTTCTGTTGGGCTTTTATTTGATCCAGTTTTCGGCCCAATTATATCTGAAGCAAACATGTCATGGAATTTTTTACATGACTATTTGCAATCCGTTTTTGAAATAAATAAATAAATTTGTAACACGTCTAGCATCAATATGGCCACTTTATTATTAAGTCTTTGCTAACGAAGTAATCTATATATTTCAGTTATTTTAGAATTATGTTAAATAAGGTTATGTGTCAATTTTAACGATACATGTTAACACCTATAAAGAAATTTTTATTTTGGAAATTGTGTATTTATTACAAATTTATAATTAAATTTTTTTAATTATTTTTTAAGACAATTTTAATTATAGATTCGTAAATATGTGCCCTAAAGATTCAGGTTAACATTACCATTTTAAAAATTGGTCAATTTTAACATAAGATTCTGTGCCAATTTTAAAAATTAGTCTAATAAAAAAAATACATAATATATAATAATTTGAATAATTAATATTTATATATTTATTTCAGATTTAAAATTTATTTTAAAAATTAAATTAAATATATTTTTTATCCTTAAAAAATTATTAAATTTGGTTTTTATTCCTGATAAAAAAAAATCATGTTTTAATTTTTAAAAAATTATTTATATACGTAGTTTTAGTTTTTATAGAAGGATTAAAACGCTATACAAAAATAATTTTGTATAGATTAAAATATGACATTTTTTTATAAGAATTAAAAATGAAATTTAAATTTAAATTTTTTTTATTGCACTCTATATAGAGAAATAAAATCTTATAAAAATTCAAAAATATCTCTGATAAAATCAAAAATATATTTTTAATATATATATATATATATATATATATATATATATATATATATATATATATATATATATATATATATATATATATATATATATATATATATATATATATATATATATATATATATATATATATATATATATATATATATATATATATATATATATATATATAATTCTTTTATTTCTGAGATATATTTTACGACTTAATTTTTTTTAAAAATATATTTCTGACAATTTCTAAAAATATATTTTTAATTTTTAGTTTTATATATTCAGGAAATAGCTCGGGAGAAGGTAGCCGGAAATGCACTTTGGTTATAAATGATTTAATATATTATTTGTTAACTTTAGTATTATCGAGGAGAAGCAGCAAACAAACAAGATTGATTGGCCTTTATATGTAGCTAGCTTGGATCAATTTTTCAGACTGACAAGCTATAATATCTATAACAGACCTATTATTACATAAAAATGTATAGTTACACGGAACACAATGACTTATCATGTATCTTGACGTGATCACTAAGAATTAGAAATATATTTTTGGTAATTATTAAAAGTGTATTTTCGAAGAAAAAAAAAGTAAATTGTAAAATATAATGTATTTTAAAAATGAAAGAATTAAATATGTATATGATGCACATTAAAAATAGTTTTTTTAAATAACAATTTTTTAAAATTTTTTTTTCTAAATAACTACATTTTTAAAAATTTTATCAAAATGATCACTTTTCAAACAAAAAAAATTTGCCACACAGAGGAAGCGCCACTCTGTGTGGCGCATGCACACAAATTAAAGAGGAGGTGCCACACTGCATGGCTTGTCCTCCTCTGTAAAGTCATGCAGTGTGGCGCATGCATGTGTTTTTGAGAGGAGACGTCACCCTCCTTGGTTTGACAGTGTAATTGCAATTTTTTATAAATACAACCACCCATCATCTTTATTTTTCCACACCACTTGTTACATAACTCTTAGAAAATGTCTTCAAGTCCCTTGCCAAAGTTTTCACTGATCAAAAGAGATGCGCATGTTATTTTTTCGGCGACAAAGCCTCCGGTGAAGATCAAACTCTAGAACACACAGACGTTCGAGCATTTTCAGAGGCACTTGATTCGCTGGTTGGAAGGAAACATTCATGAAGGTGAACAAATCAGAAAAAATAGAAAGGCCCATCACAGTGAGGAATGAAAATAGAGTAAGTCGATCATGGAAAAATGTGAGATGCGACGTTGATGTCATGATGATGATGCTTGGACCAGAGGATATTGTGTTGATGGTCTTTATCTCTTAGATGTTATGATTTGTTTAGTTGTTTTGTCTGTTTATCATGTTGTCATATTGTTGTCCTGAGTATGTGGTGTTGTAATTTTTTGTGTCATGATGTGAAATTTGTTGTAATCGAATGATAAATTGAACATGAAATGATAACTCAAATTTAAATTGAAATATATTGCGTACAACAAATTAAACACTCCAGATAGTTTGCTATTATAAAGTTATGTTGCAGAGCTACACCCAATATTCAGACAATTTTTCCGATTGTGTCCGGGAAGACGACATGTACCGCATAATCTTATCATTTTGTTGGTTGTATCCATTTCAGTTCTAATACGAGTGCTTTTTGGGTGCCCCTTTTTCTTCCGTCGCATTTGTTCATTGTGCCAAACAATGTCCCCTTCATAAGCAGGCCAGTAATCCTCCTTTGCCAACACGGAGAAGGTATTGATGTACACACTTAAAATGCTCTTTACCATGTACACGGGGGATGTATGTTGTATTGGGTCCAAGCGAACATGCGAACATGCCGCTATGACATGAGAGCAAGGCATGCGAAATGCTTGAAAATTTCCGCAATCACACCAACCTCTATCTAGTTCAACTCGATAATATCCCCTTGGCCTCCCCTTATTATGATCCAATGTCTCTTGTACACTGAACCAACCTTTAATACGGTCAAACACAGTGACACTATGGGTGTTTGCTTTTGCAGCCTCCTCGTTAAATGTTTTCATCATGCATTCACTAAACAATTTCCCTGATTGTAACACTGCCCTCCATTTTAAACTTCTTGTGTCAAATAATGAACCCATTCTGAAATATGTTTCTCTAACCAAAGCGGTAATTGGTAGGTTTCGGATGCCTTTGAATACAAAGTTCAATGATTCCACCAGATTTGTTGTCATGTGGCCCCATCGTTGACCATTGTCAAATGCCCGAGTCCACTTCTCCACTAGAATGTTATAGATCCACCTTAATGCTTCTGAGTTTGCCAACTAGATTTCTTCGCGATAGTATCAGAATGACGGTTCTGTTAAGGCATACCCTGCATTAATAACTTTCTTTTGAAGTGTCTTGTCTTTGATATGGAGCATGAAGTTTTATGTGATATGTCTAATGCAATAGACATGTGTCGAAGAGGGATCCTGCCAACCGTTATCAGGGTTATTGTATGTACTCACAATTGATGGATGTCTGTCTGAAATCAAACAAAGGTTGGGTTGTGGAGCAACGTGTAATCGGAGATTCTTCAGAAAGAAATTCCATGCACCACCTGTCTCACCTTCAACTAGAGCGAAGGCAATCGGAAAAACATTATTGTTCCCATCTTGTGCCACTGCCATAAGTAATGTTCCTTTATACTTCTCGTATAACCAAGTTCCATCAATCTGTATAATAGGTTTGCAAAATGCAAAACCCTTGATGCATGGTTCAAATGCCCAGAACAAACGATGAAATATTCCATTTCCACTAACACGAGTTCTGTCTGGGGTAAAAGTCGGAAGTGTCTCCAAAATTATAACACTTCCCGGAGCATAATATTTGAGTGCCACCAAAAATCTTAGAAGTTCTTTGTACGATTCCTCCCAATTACCGTACACAAGTTCAACTGTCTTAGTCCTCCTGATCCATGCCTTCCTGTAAGAGGGAGTATAATTGAATCTCGTAGTGATATGATAAATAATTGTACTCACCTTTAATGATGGATCTTTGCTAATAAGAGACAAGATTTCTTGACATATTAGTTGAGAATTAAGTTTCTGATGATCCTGTGTCGGAACGATGGTGATGCAAGTGTGGAGTGGATCAATGGAACCTATTTCCCATGAATCACTTATCTTTCTGTAAGATGCAGTTAACTGAAAAGGGAAAATTGGTTTTTGACGACATAAAATAACGTACCTCCCTGAATTATTTTTATCTACAGTGAAGTCAGCTAAAATTTCCATGTGGTATTTTTTGATAGCTCTAAGGCACTCTTCTTTTGTTTGAAATTTGTCTCCAACTTTCAAGGCCCCTTCAGTCTGCATATAAGGATCGTGAAAGATATCTGAGGCTGGTTCATCTTCCCCCAAGTTCAAGTTCATCATGTGAAACGGAGGGTCGTACGCATGACTTGCAGGTATAGGTTCATGCTCTTGATCTGCAGCGTGATCATTGACCATAAAATCAATCATTGCCTCATCATCTTCTTCTTCTTGGTCAATAACATCAACTTCAGGATGGTTGTCCTCTTCAGATTCATCCTCTTCTTCAAAGTCTTGAGAAGGATCTACCACCTGAGATTGATCTGGTTGTTGTAATAAAACATACAGCTCAATCTCATCGAACCCAGATTATTCATGAGTTCGAAACATGTTTCGAACATCATCATCGTCGCGCACCTTAAGTTGATAAAATTTGACTTGGTTGTTGTCAAATAGAAATGGGGACTTGTAAAGAATTTGGTAAACTGGACCACACTGCAATTTGGATTCTACTCTATCTTTGAAGCGTGCAAAACTGAACTTCTTGTTTATCTGAAAGCGGATAAAATCGGTATTACAGAAATTAAAACCTAAGTTATCACAGTTGAACGTCTCACCGTTAATATGGGCAACAATAGTATAATTTTGTGAGTGATCCATGTTGTTGAGGTATGTTTTTTGTGAGTTATGGATGTATATTGGTAATGCAACCTACACAGACGATTAAATAGAGTGATAGTCTGCATGCATGCGCCACCCTAGGTGGCTAATCCTCTTATTTTCTCATGCATGCACCACCCTAGGTGGCTTATC